AAACCAAAATTTAATCCCAAGCATCACACCAAAACCTGTGATTTCCTTCAACAGATATAAGTGCTGGTATAATTTCTAGTGAAGAGCAGAATTATTGCATAGAGGGAGCTTCCTGAAACATGGGAGCCCTGCATCCCACCTTTAACCAAGGCTCTATATTCAAACCCCAGCCCCAATCATACCCTCCCCTCTAACATCAGTTTCCACGTGACTACCGTACCACCACCACAGCCTAATAACAAGGGTATGGTGAGCACAGGCAATGCTGCGAAACTCAGGCTTCGATCTGCCAGGAAACACTGGCATCCAGAGGACGACAGGGTTGTTACCAGCTATTCCCATTGAAGCTTTAAGTGGCTTGAGGTCCAGGGACTTGAATATGGCCAGGCTCCTTTCACAGAACACACAACAGTAATATATACATTTCACTGAAAAGTTTTTATTGGCCTTTTGGATAGAAACGGGAATTTATTTGCCAGGAAGGATGATCCCATCATACTGAAAGAGAAGAGATTTTATTTTTTCACAACAGGAGGCAACAGCAAAGATTGCAGCAATGGCTAACGTTTGAGACTCCAAATCTGACACATGAATTCAGCTCTGAATCCCACATCCCTTCTAGACTGAACAGGAAACTGGCCAGTTTTAACAACTACTACATTGTGCTCAAACTGTGCTTGACCTTGAGAAAAGGGGGCTCCTATTAAAGCCATATTCCTCCCCTCCCAACGACCTGCATTTATGGGGGTGGGGAGAAAGCCTGATTCTGGGTGTTCAAACCACCAACCCTGGAAGCCCACGTTTGCCAAGTTGCCCAAATATACTACCTTTAAAGAAACTACCCACCAAATGGTGCTGGATTTTGCACCCCCAAATCCCAACTCCAACACCACATTCCACCACTTCACCTGAGATAAATCAGCTTTACCTTCTGTTGGAACCAGCGCATGGCCTCCTCTTTGCTGATTCTGTGTTTGGCCCCAATGCAGCCTGTCCTGCGCTTCTTGTCTGCGATGCTGAAACCTGGCCTACCCAGCACCTGTCCCAGGAATAACCAACAGTCACCTAGCCAGCTCAGAGTCAAGAGTACACGGACAAGACTCACACATTTGAGACTGATCATCAAGAGTCATTTGGTGGCCCCAGCGAATTCTGGAGCAAGAGACCCATGATCTCAGGGTCTGATAAAACTGTTAGCAGCATCCAGGACAACATACCACACTTTAAATCTGCTTTGGAGGCTGGAACTTGCAAGCACCTCCCACCCTCCCTGCCTGACTTCCAATGGTAGCTAAGGATTCTCCACCATCGCTCCCCAGTCTCCAAAGCACATTTTTAAAAGAACATTAAATTAAAAAAAAAAAATCTTACTATAATATATACATTATAGAAAATTTCAGATTCTGAGAAGCACAAAGAAATAGTTATTCGTTTTTTCTGCTTCAGTTCAAAAGTGCTTCTTAAAGTCTTGCTTCTCCCAAACTTCCTGTGATCACCTGATTCTCCTTAGCATTTGGATATTCAAATCTAATGCGGGTGCTGCCATTACTCAGGTTCCACACTAGTCAGGACTTCTGGTTTTTGCTATTTAGTTTCATGGTTGGACAAACACACAAATGGTCATTTGTACATTGAAATCCCTATCCTGACTGAGCAAACAGCCACATCACCAAACATGTATCTACGTCCTCTGGATGGAAGCCACCCTACCTTGGAAATGGAAGGAAGGAGCTGGGAAAGAGCGGCCTTAGTTAGCACAGCCAACCCACACGCCAAATACAGCACCAGAACTCACTCAAATTTTCAATTCAGTGGGTGGAATAGTTCCTTCACCAGCCTCTAAGTCGTAATGGTGCTTGTTAGATCCTAGACCATAATCTTCACAATAGCAGCATCCTGTCTATCTAGCTCAGTGTTGTATTCCTACACCTGCCACAAATGAGGCACATCTTCCCAAGGGGGACAACACAAAGCAGACAACACTCAAAGCTTCAATCCAACATCGTAACATCAAGATAGCACATACGAAATAAAGGAGTAGGCAGAGTCTACTCTCCTCACAGACCAGGAGTGGAAAAGATTAAATATCCATACCACATAGAAGTCCAGGCCATAGATACCAATGCTTGGGTCATATTTGATCCCCAGATCGATGTGCTCCTGGATCCCAAAACCAAAGTTTCCAGTATCGGAGAAGTTATTTTTTCTTAACTCATACTCTCGCACCTAAGGAGAAAAATGCAATTACACCCCGTGTCAACTCAAATTCTCGCAGAATTACTAGCTTAGTCCACAACACTCAGCACCCCAGAGATACAATTCGATTAACCTGACCATGGATAAAATCTTATTTTCCCACAACACAAATACGTCACAACTGTAGATTTCGTAGAACTTTCCCAACATGTAAAGGGCACAGGAAAACCCAGAGAAATCATTCAGAGATCAGCCTCACCTTTAGACCTTTCTCCAGGATTTCTTCTGCCTTGGCCCCACGGACCGTGCAGTGGACAGCAATCTTTTCATTTCTCCTGATACCAAAGGATCTAACGGTGTATCTAGCTGCAGGTAGGGAGGAACAAGGAGTCAGGTATCACACGTCCACCCCACTCACCTCTTCCCCAGAACATCATCTCCAGGTCTAAGAGACATGAAGCATCCATCCACATCCTAAGTGGTGGCATTCTAACCGGTGTCACCCACACCTGTTTCATCCTTAACACAGAAAATAGATTTTCTAATTCCAAGTCACTCAGTCGTAACTTCAGCAACTAAGAGCTTCCAAGTCATAATGTCGAAGTCTCAGGAGGGGCCAAGTACACGGCCAGAATAGGCCACTAGAAAGGAGTATGACCATTGTGTTCTAAACAAAACATTATTGATGGTAGCTAACATTCTCTAAAGTCTTATTGTAATACCCTCCTATCACAGATGAAGTTCTGGGAGGTTAATGTGCCCCAAATAAGAGGCAGGCTCTGTACCCATGAACTTGCCATATTCCAGCATCCTAAAGCAATGAAACTTCAAAAACAAAAAAATCAACACAATGATAGTATCTACACTGGGCGTGGCAGGCAGCAGGCATTTCACACAATTCATTCACACTATCACAAGCTTATTAACATCCCCTTCAGGCCAATGAGGAAACTGAGACCCAAAAAGGCCAAAGTCAGACCAGCAAGTGATGGAGCTACGAGCTGAACCCCATTAGTCTAGGTACACAACTCTGTGTTTTACATTATTTTTTTAAAAGTTTATTTATTTTGAGGGGCGCCTGGGTGGCTCAGTCGGTTAAGCGTCTGACTTCAGCTCAGGTCATCTCACGGTCTGTTGGTTCTAGCCCAGTGTCGGGCTGTGCCGACAGCTCAGAGCCTGGAGCCTGCTTCAGATTTTGTGTCTCCCTCTCTCTCTGCCCCAATCCCGCTTGCACTCTCTCTCTCTCAAACATAAACATTAAAAACAAACAAAGCTTGTTATTTTGAGAGACAGTGCCAGTGAGCACGCGCATAGCAGGGGCGGGGCAGAGAGAGGGAGAGAATCCCAAGCAGCACATGGAGCGCAACGCAGGGCTCAATTTCACGAGATCATGACCTGAGCAGAAATCAAGAGTCCACCACTTAACTCACTGAGCCACCCAGGTGCCCCACACAACTCTGTTCTTAACGTAGCCCCTAAATTCTAAATGTGAATCAAGCCAAATACCATTTACTGTATTCCCAACATTTCCACTCTGCCTGTAAAATCTCTCCCTGGACCAGTCCTAGCTTCATCCCTCCTAACTTAAAAACCTGGTATCCCAACACCAAAACCAATTTTGAAACGAGGATATGTCTGGAGTACTGTAGGAAGCTAATGCTTTTGAGGGATACCAACTGTCACTTGCAAAACGGGGCCCTCAACGGGCTGGAAACCAGGTAAATTAGGAAACACCCAGGCATACTCGGCCACCGGCCCTCTCCCCTGACTGCCACTGCTCACCTTTGGAGAACACAGGGGTCTGGCCTGTGAGCTGCTCCAGCACCTTGGCTGCCCTGGTCAGTCTGTCTCCACTCTCCCCCACACAGATGTTGAGGCAGAGCTTGCGGATGCGAAGTTCCCGCATGGGGTTCTCCTTTTCACCTTGATCCTGCTGCAACACGGGAAGCGCAGCAGTCAACACACAACCCCGCCACAGCTGCGAGTCCAGCATTTGGATACACAGCATTACCGATCTCTGCTCACCCCCATTCCTAACGAAGGCCCTAAGGGTTCAAAAAAGTCTGGGAGGCACCAAGGCAGGCAGCTCGGGATCTGGTCTCTTCCTCGACGCACGGAATGGGTGAATGGAAACTCAGCACGGGTATCGGGAGTTAAAATTACAGGCAGTGGATGAAGCCCAAGGGACTCAACGTGTAAGGTGTCGGAGCGCGTCCCCATTACAAAGCTAATGGGGGAGAAAATTGAATTGAAAAGCTGGGGAAACGGGAAACACGTGGTTGTGCGACGTCCCCGTTGCGTTCCGAAGCAGCCCAGCGGCTGCGGCAGAAGGCGAGCGCCTTCCCCAAGCGGACAAACAGGCTGAGGTTCCCCAGCGCCGGGGAGGTCTCAAGTCCTCAGAACGGGCAACAGGTCCTGACACCGCGTGCCAGCCCCTCCGTTCGCTCCGCTCGCCCTCCCTGCAGCCTACGGGCTATGCTTCTGAGCCCTCTCGGCGCCTGCTCCGAGCCCGCTCCTGAGAGAGCGCAGGGGAGGCGACAGGGTTCAGCTCCGCGCCCTGCGCCCGCATGGCTCTGCCAGTTTCGGCACGGCCAGCACTGCGGGCTCCCTTCTCCTCCGGCCGCGGACCAGGCAGCTCCCGCGGGCTCGGCCGGCCGTGGATGAAGGCGGATGAAGGGAAGCAAACCGAGGGCTCAGCTACTCACCGCCATGGTGAAGGACAGGAAGAGAAAGTGGAGCTTCCGGCCCAGGGCCTTATGGGTCAGGAGGCGGGCTCTTTTCCCAGGCTAAAGGGAGAGCTGAGGAGGAGCAGGAGGGGCCCGAGCGACGCGACGCAGCGTCCGGCGAGGCCTGGTGGGCGCTGCCGGCAGCCGCGGGCGACGCCGGCAGACCCCCGGGACCTGGGTTTTCCAAAAGCGGTTTTTAAAACTCCCGAACGGACTTTTCATTGAGCTTCCGGCCTCCGTTGACGCTCTTCCCTCCCCCCAGTCTCCGGACCTGGTGGTTCTTGCCTGATGAGACTTCCAGAACTACATGAAATCAATTATGCAAACTGTGAAGTAAAAATTTTATTTTATTCGGTAAAAATGTAAACAAATGGAATGTATACAATTAGAACAGTGGTGGCTTAAGAGTCCTGAGCTGTGGAGACAGGCAGCTGTGCTCCTATCTTGGCTAGCTCATCGCTATGCGACCCAGGGCAGGTTACCAATTAGACCTCTTTCAGCCTCAGTTTCCCTCGGCTTTAAAATGGGTACCTAGGGGCGCCTGGGTGGCTCAGTCGGTTGAGCGTCCGACTTCAGCTCAGAGCATGATCTCGAGGTTCGTGGGTTCGAGCCCCGCGTCGGGCTCTGGGCTGACAGCTCAGAGCCTGGAGCCTGCTTCCGGTTCTGTGTCTCCCTTGCTCTACTCCTCCCCCCCCTTCCTCTCTCTCTCCTTCAAAACCAAACGTTAAAAAAAATTAAAAGATAAAATGGGTACCTACATCATATGCGGTTGTTGTGAAAATCAAAGGTAATTGCATAGGGCACGCAGTAAGCTTGCAATACGAGGTTGCTCTTTTTTTTTTTTTTTAATTTTTTTTTCAACTTTTTAAATTTATTTTGGGGACAGAGAGAAACAGAGCATGAACGGGGGAGGGGCAGAGAGAGAGGGAGACACAGCATCGGAAACAGGCTCCAGGCTCCGAGCCATCAGCCCAGAGCCTGACGCGGGGCTCGAACTCACGGACCGCGAGATCGTGACCTGGCTGAAGTCGGACGCTTAACCGACTGCGCCACCCAGGCGCCCCCCGAGGTTGCTCTTAATATAAACCCACTATTAGCCGAGCAAACTTACACACCCCGCCCCCCCAAAATGTGTTAGACACGGTGTATAGTCAAGAGTCAACCTGCAGTCACAAAAAGGGCTTGCAAGATCGGTCTCTGACGAAGGCTCCGATCGCAAACAGTAATAGAGCTTCTTGGTTTACACTAAATCCTCAACATCGGGACTCAAGGGGCTGCCAGGATCCACAACGGAGGTAGAATCTCGAATCAGTTTCTTTAACAGGAATAAATGGACAGAAGGCTTTGGTGGCAAAAGAGACAAGCCTATCTCTGCTGCCATAATTCCCTTCTCCCACTGCTACAGGGGAGGTAAAATCCCCCAGGCTCTCCTTGTTTCATCCAGTAGGGTCAAAGGGGACTTCTGGGAAGCTGGGTTGAGGGAGGAGAGTAAAAAGACCCCTCGTCCCCCTCCCCCCCATCAGTCACCCCTGCACCCTTGAGCTTCCTCCAAGCACCCACTAGCTAGCTCAGAGCTGAGGGCTCAGTCAAACCTCTCAGAAGCCAAACCAAGGGAGGGGCGGCTCCAAAACTTGGAATAAAGAGACAAGATAGCTTAATGCAACACATGATCCGGGATTTTCTTTTGCCGTGAAGCATGTTTTTGGAGTAACTGGTGAAATCTGAGTTAGACCTGCAGATTTCAGAAGTGGACCCATGTTAATTTAACACCCTCATTCTGATCACTTTACCTTGGTTATATCAGAATATTCTTTTGGATTTAAGAAATACACCTGCAGCATTTGCTGTAGATGGCCATCATGTCTGCAGATCACTCTCAAATAATTCAGGGAAAAATGTGGTAAATAGGATTTGGGGATTCTGGGTGAAAGAAACGTGGGGTTTCTTGCAGCTTCGTAACTCTAAAATTGTCAAGCTGAAGTTAAAATAACCCGAGGGAGACATGTACCCTGCAGATCTAAAACAGAGCTTGCCCTACAAATCTCAGGGCTCACTCGCCCCCTGCCAACTTTTTTCCAACAGAACTTCTCCAGTTCTGGATAGTGCTATCCCAGGATAGTGCTCACTTGCCTCCAGTGCCCACACCATGTTAATGAGAGTAGCTAATTACCATGCCCAGCAAGTACCAGCTTGCTCAAACTTCAACATCCCTGTGGAGGCCGACATTGTTTTCCCATTTTACAGATGAGCGAGGCACACAGAAGTTTAGTAACTTTTATAGACACTAAAGTCAGGCTGTTTAACACTAGAGTCCTGTTCTAGGAACTGATGAACTTGGCCGGGGCCAAAAGCTGCCCTGGACTTTTCTCTTTACACCTTTTCCCCCCTGTGACCCCAGCTCTCTGGTTCTTGCACCAGTCAGGCACCAGAAGGAAAGCAAGGGGTAGAATTAGACTGAGCACCCCACCTGCTTCCTCCTTGCTCGCAGCATCAAGGCCAACAGAGGCAGGGGCAAAAAGTCTTGGTGTGCTTTATTCCCATGCCTCAAGCTCCTCAGCAAAAAGAAAACTGCATTAGCAGGGGGCAGGTTTAAGACAGTTAAGGCAAGAGAAGCGTAAGTCCAAGGCTTCTCCTTGAGCCCATTCTTTTCCAGCTGTGGCTCCTCCTGGGCTGCTCCTGGCCTGGAAAGGCCTGAAGTAGCTGTCACCACTCACTTCCTGGCCGCTTTCATGGCAGATTTGGTGACTTTGCCACCAGTTGCTGCTTTTTTCTCCACAGCCTTGATGACCCCAACTGCCACCGTCTGCCTCATGTCACGGACAGCGAAGCGACCTAGGACACAGGACATGAGGAAACAAATGGGGAATGCTACCAAGGCACGAGCTAGGACACTTGTACGGGAGGCCAAGTAAGTAATACCCTAAATTATACATATGAGTGCATTTAGTTTTCATGTCTCATAGATCTCTTATCTACTTTATAGTTGGGAAAGCTGGGGGAAAGAAGGAGATCACTCAGCTGTGATGGTTGAAAACCCAGAAAGTCTCAAACCAACACTTACATTCTTAGCCACTGGACTGTCATCCCATTTCCATAAGTAAAGGTCACAGGGAAAAACTTTGCTTTTGGTGCAACTCACCAACCTACCATACCGATGCTCCAGCTGCCAACCAGCTAGCTCTTTCTCTGTGTCCACCACAACAACCCACAGGACGGATCTCGTTTACATTCAACTGTGAATCTGGCAGATGCTTCTCTTAGGGGAGGGGAGTTCTTGAATGCTCTCTGACTTCAAGTGGTAGAGGGAAAGGCTTATGGCATCTGGCTTCAACCTCATAGTATTTTTGGCAGAGATAGGAAGTACTAAACCAGCTTTGTAAGATTCATGTGGCAGCCTCTGTGGCCTGCCTCTAAAATTAGCCTTTTGAAATTCACACCCTGGGAGACCCTGAAGGCTGGGACTTGTCTGTTTATAAATCTCTATCATCTGTGGGGGTGCCTGGGTGGCTCAGTCGGTTGAGCGTCTGACTTCGGCTCAGATCATGATCTCACAGCTCGTGAGTTCGAGCCCTGCATCGGGCTCTGTGCTGACAGCTCAGAGCCTGGAGCCTGCTTCCGATTCTGTGTCTCCCTCTCTCTGCCCCACCCCCCGCTTACATTCTGTCTCCCTCTCTCAAAAATAAATAAACGTTTAAAAAAATTAAAAAAAATCTCTATCATCTAGCACAGAATAGGCACTGTACAAAAGTGCCTACCCCCTATACGTTAGAGTTCAGAACATTCTAGGTTAATTGTTCAAACCTAGCCATGTATAATATACTTGGGGAATCTAAGAAACAGACTCCTAGGCTGCAGCCCTGACCAGGTGAATCTATCAGGGTCTGAGCCCCTGGGTTTAATAGGGTCCGTCGGTGGTTCTGATTATGCGCCAGGTTTGAAAACCACTGCACTAGAGAAGATGGAAAAAGAAGATCCCTAATAATCTCTGCTTTATTCACCTCCTCTGGATCAGAGTGTCTTAAATCGATATGCATCCCGATTACCTGGGGATATTGTTAAACCGCAGACTTGAGTTCAGCAGGTCTGGGTGGGGCCTGAAGCTCTGCATGTCTAACCACCTCCCAGGGAATGCCCATGCTGCTAGTCCACGGACCCTGCTTTGAGTAACAAGGGCTCTAAAGTGGCCCCTGCCTTGCTGTATGACACTAGACAAAAACCATTTTCCTTTTGTTGTTGTTGTTGTTGTTGTTGTTGAGCCCCTCTAACCTGGAACTCAGGTCCTTCTAACCAGGTTCTGCAACCTGGCTTGGATGTGACACATTGGCTAACTGGCTCCCTGGAGCCAGGAGGAGGATGGGGCAGCCCCTAGTGGGCCAGGTGCTGTCAGGACTTACCAAGGGGTGGGTACTCGGAGAAGCTTTCTACACACATGGGCTTTCGTGGGATCATCTGAACAATGGCCGAGTCCCCAGACTTTAGGGCTTTGGGATTATCTTCCAGCTTCTTGCCTGAGCGCCGGTCGATCTTCTCCCTGAGCTCTGCAAACTTACAGGCGATGTGGGCCGTGTGGCAGTCCAGAACTGGCGAGTAGCCAGCCGCAATACTGCCAGGGTGGTTGAGAATGATCACCTGGAACCCAGAGTGGGATGGGAGCCGGGAAGGGGATTAGCCAAGCATCCTCCAAAGGAGGCAGCCCTGACCAGCCAAGGGGTCAGGCCCCTTGGACACATTTTAAGTCATAGTGAGCATTTGAACGTTTATTGAGTATACCAAGTTCTGTGCTAAGTAGATCTCATGCATTCCGATTTAATTTTCACAGCAGAGAGCCTGAGTAACTTACCCATGATGGAACAGCAGGCAAGTGGCAGAGCTGGGGGTGAGTGACACTAAAACCAACACACTTGTACGTTATTTACGTACTACTTTTCCCCACCATTCAGAAGATGGATTATAATAGCAGCTAGCTAACTTGTTAGGTGACCTGTTGGCCCCAGGTCAGCTGTTTTACATATCACCGCCTCATTTAATGTTCCCAAGCTCACTACAAGGTAGCACCAGGCTCCACATGCACAAGTAAGAATGTGCCAGACTTTGCATCTAGAACAGCCTTCACATTCTAACTCTGGGCCAAGGAAACACCTGAGAGCTCTAACATACAGATTCCCAGGTTCCACCCATGTCTACTGCATCACTTCCCAGAACCACTGAGAAGAGTGTTAGGAATCTGCATTAAAAAATTATGAGGGTGGGGGGAGGCACCTGATGGTTCAGTCAGTTAAGCTTCTGACTTTGGCTCAGGTCATGATCTCACGGTTAGTGGGTTCGTGAGTTTGAGCCCTACGTCGGGCTCGGTGCTGGTAGCTTGGGGCCTGTAGACTGCTTCAGATTCTGTTTGCCCCTCCCTCACTTGTGCTCTGTCTCTCAAAAATAAATTAAAAAAAAATTTTAATGTTTATTTTTGAGAGACAGACCGAGAGTGAGTTGGGGAGGGGCAGAGAGAGGGAGACACAGAATCTGAAGCAGGCTCCAGGCTCTGAGCTGTCAGCACAGAGCCGGAGGCGGGGCTCAAACTCATGAACCATGAGATCATGACCTGAGCCAAAGTTGGGCACTCAACTGACTGAGCCACCCAGGCACGCCTGGAATCTGCATTTTTTTAATGTTTATTTTTGAGAGAGAGTGTGCGCCAAGTGCGCGTGCAAACGCAAGCAGGAGAAGAGCAGAGAGAGAGGACAGAGGATCTGAAGCGGGCACTGATAGCGAGCCGATGGAGATCATGACTTGAGCTCAAGTCCTAAGCACCAGGCGCTAAGTCCCAGCCACCCAAGCGCCCCAGGAGTCAGCATTTTTGTAACACTCCCCAGGTGATTCTAATCCACCTGGTTTGAAAACTGCTTTAAGACATCAAGACCATACTGTGGAAGCTAAGATCAGCAGAGTACATTGTTTAGTTAAAGGGCAAAGTAGCAAATAAGCTGCAATCAGGATCCTAACCCGGACAGTTGGACTGTACCTACACTGCAGACCAAGAGCCTAGCATGGAGCATATGCTCAGGGCCCACTTCCTGAATGACCCAGTGGGCCATTCTGCTCCCAGGACAGTGTGGCTGTCTCAGGAGGACACCCCTTAAATGGTCCTCCTCACCTGGGAGACGAAGCTCCCCACCTCTGAGGGCGGGTCATTCTTGCTGTCTCCTGCCACATAGCCCCGCCTGATGTCCTTCACCGACACGTTCTTCACATTGAAGCCCACATTGTCGCCGGGCAGGGCCTCAGCCAGGGCCTCGTGGTGCATCTCTACAGACTTGACCTCCGTGGTGATATTGCAGGGGGCAAAGGTCACCACCATGCCGGGCCTGAGGAAGCCTGTTTCTACCCGGCCCACGGGCACAGTGCCGATGCCTGGGGGACAGAGCAACCACAGCTGTCAGCAGCCAGACCTCCACGAGCCCCCAACCCCAAGCACCCCCAACACAGCATGTACTCACCCCCAATCTTATATACGTCCTGCAGAGGCAGCCGCAGGGGCTTGTTCACAGGGCGGGCAGGGGGCATGATGGAGTCTAGCGCTTCTAGCAGGGTCATGCCCACCATGTTTCCTTCCTTCCTGGTGATCTTCCAGCCTCTGAACCAGGACATCTGGAAAAGCCACCAAATGTGCAGCTCACTTAGGCTAGAGGGAGCCTGTCCCAGGTGCCAAACTGGTTTTAACATGAGACTTCAAGCAATTTTTTAATGCATTTTGAGCCTCAGCTTCCTCATCTATGAAACGTATCCCCACCTACCTTGCAGGCTCAAGTAAAACACAAAGGCCACATGCAATCCACCAAGCACAATGTTCGACATGTACTAAACACCCACTAAGTGGTGGCCATTCCTCTAAATCTTGTAGTTGTTGCCCAACTTGAGCCAATATTTTTAGGAAGCAGAGATTCCTAGAGTCTGATTAGCTCTTGGGTCTCATTCCATGTTGTCATTCCACAGATGGGGAAACAAAGGAGCAGAAAAAAACATACAGCAGAATTAAGTAAGCATCAGGAGCGAGAATGAAGATACAACTCAAATACTCTAACACTTACACCTTCTGAACACTAGATATTCCCCAACATCTTAGGCCAGGAGAGCGTTATTGAGTGTGAGGCCTTCTAAAAGGATAACTAAGTATGACAGTACATCGTATGCATGCCTTTTAAGCAGACACTTTATTTACTTCTCTAAAAACCCTCGCCAAAGCTCATCAGAAACGTCATCTTTGCCTTCAGAGATGTATCAGTTAACTGGAAATCCAGGACAGAGGAGGTACAGAAAGAGCCAAGGAGGTTGATGTTAAAGGCCAAGTGAGCAACCAGCCATCAAGCGGCAGAGCTGATCAGCATGTGGCCTTAGCTCAGGCCTAAGGCAAACTGGTGGAATCCCAGTCACATTTCTCCTTTCCAGTCATAGACCCTTGAGAAAATCCCTAGGCTTTGAAATCTCAGTCTACCATCAGTGTCAAAGCAATAGCAGCCCTTACCTATTGATTAAAGGCAGGATATGGGAGAGGTGCCCTGGCCTTGGAATCACACACAACAATCTCTCAGTCCTTAGTGAGACTCTCAGAAGAGAGAGGAGCAGGGACTGCCGGGGGTGAAAGGGTCGGTAAGGGGGATCAGGGATGGCTTTGGTGGGTAGGGAAGAAGGCTCCAGTCAAGTAAGCCCTCTTCTGTGAGGGAGAAGCAGAGCTATGCAGCACAGAAGCCACACAGAACACGTCTGGCCTAATGGACTAAAAAATGGGTGACTCAAGGAATAAAGCTATAATTTCTATTAATACTCAACTCTAGTAAGCAGGGGGCGTGGGGTGGAAGGGAAGCAGGAGGCTTTGAAGAACTGTAATAAGCATTTTTATATAAATAATTCAAACGTAAAAAAAAAAAAAAGAACATTTCCTCTTTTTACAGAGGAATAATTGAGGATCAAAAGTAGGTTGCCCAATGCCCAAACAAGAAGTTGATAAGGAGGCCAACGCCCCACTCAAACAGAACCTCATTGTGAGGATAATCTCTTCTATTAGTTTGATGAACTTGGACACTAACTTGGCTCTATGCCAACTCAGAGGCCTGCATAATAAGCCTAGGAGGTCAGCATCACCCCCCATCTTAAAAATGGGGAAACTGATGTCTCCAATGTCACAGGTATTTCTTGAGAGTGGAGGCTAAATCCTAGATCTACTGTCTAGTCCACTGACTGCATGTTTTGTTCTTTTAGCATCTAGAACATACTAGATGTCCAATAAATGCCCGAAGGGACAAGAAGATAAAATCCCCTTATTTCACTAGCTGAACTATGTGCTGATACTTGGGGGATGGGCATCAAAGCTTTAGGTTTCTGTTCTATGGTCATTTTAGAAGAGCCCGCCTTCACCATCCAATATAGAAGAACTCTCTCATACCATGCCCCCCTCATCCTTAAGTTTTTCTTAGCATTTGTCATCATCCACTATATTACCACCCCCCTGTCTGTCCCACCCAAGACCCAAGACTGCAGTGCCACGAGCAGGGCTGGGTCTCATTCCCCACCACACCCTCAGCACCAAGGACAGTGCCCAGCATGCAAATGTTGAAGTACCATCCAAGTGAACACACTGCCAATGGTAGTTCTAATCTTTCCTAAGGACGGTTGGGCAATAGGTGTCAGAAGACTCTGAAATAATGCCTACCCTTTGTTTCAGTAGGAATTTATTCTAATTAAATTATCGACGACACATGCAAAGATTTATTTACCAAGATGATTATGGTGGTTTTTAACAAAACAAGAAACCATATTCTTGGAAGCTGGTGACCTTGGGCTACTATTTAACTACACTGTGTCCCAGTTTTCTTATTTTACATGGGAATAAAATGCGCTCTTCATGGGGTTGTGTCCATGTAAAGTGTTTAGTCTGGTGTCTGGCACATGGTAATTTCTCAAATACCATTTTCATTTCATAAGGATATGGCTAAACTGTACCTCTGATCTGCACTATAAAACACCCATTAAGTATTAAACAGGTTTAAATGGCAAAGAAGATTCTAAACAGAGTTTCTAGAAAAATCACATACAGCTTAAGTCCAGCTGTGAATATCTAGAAAGAATTGCATGAAAACCAGGTTATCTATAAGCTATGGGATTGCAGTTTATGCTTCATATCTACATAAAAGGCTCATTATAAAAGTAATGTCTAACATTTTTACAATCAGAAAAAGGTTCTGATATGTACATGTGGAGGAAACGGCTAAGAATCAAGTCAGTTATAGAAAAGGTAGGCTTTAGGCAGTATTAGTGATAGATAGCAGTTAGCATCTGAGCACCAACTGTATGCATGAACCCATGTGGAGTCTCTCACTTAATTCTCACAGTCCCATGAAAGGAGTCCTTAGGCAGAGAGTATTAATTCCTCTCTTACCCCTTTACTCTGGGTGAGGGAGAAAGCTGGGGCTTGAACCCAGGTCTGATGCCAGAACTAGACTTCTTTTGTAGGGAGACACTCATTTAAGAATTTTAAACTCTGTTAGGTGCCAGGATCCATGAACACAGTGACTATATCTTAGACACATTTATATCGCCCCCACACTTCCTAATCTGCCTTGAGAGGTAGCTTAGATGTTATAGGCATGGACTAGAATTCTAGACTCTGCTGGCACTGCTTAACAGAACTTTCTGCAAAGGTGGAAAATTCTGTAACTTCCCTGTCCAATATGGTAGCCCCATATGTTTGTTGGGCACTTGAAATGTAGCTAATACAACTAAGGAACTGAAATGATTTCATTTGGCTTAACTTTAATATTAATAGCCACATGTAACTACTACATTGTACAATGCAACTCTGTGCTTACTAGTTGTATAGTTTTGAGTAATCTCTGTTTATCTGTAAAATGGGGATCAAATTATGTAACCCTTGGGGAAGGAGACCCTGCACAGTGATTGGCCCATAAGCGTGCTAAAAATGCTGGTAATTCTAGGAGAAGCTCAAAGATTTGAGTGGGAATGTTGCATTGAATTGGTCCTGTCCCAGTCAGCTCTCACCTTGTTGCTGGGTTCTATCATGTTGTCTCCATGCCAGCCCGAGATGGGCACAAAGGCAACAGCCTCAGAGTTGTAACCGATCTTCTTGATATAGGCCTTCACCTCCTTGCTGATCTCCTCAAAGCGTGCACTACTGTAAGGAGGCTCCGTGATGTCCATCTTATTGACTGCCACGATGAGCTGCTTCACACCCAGCGTATAGGCCAGCAGTACATGCTCACGGGTCTGCCCATTCTTAGAGATGCCAGACTCAAACTCACCTACACCACTTGCCACAATCAGCACAGCGCAGTCTGCCTGGCCCAAGTGACAGGGGCAAGAAGGCCCAGCTCAAATTTGGCCTGGGACACCCACTGCCCACCCCCAAAGCAGAGCCAAGACAACTCTAGTGGTACCTGTGAGGTGCCTGTGATCATGTTCTTGATGAAGTCACGGTGACCTGGGGCATCGATGATGGTGATGTAGTATTTTTTGGTCTCAAACTTCCACAGGGAGATGTCAATGGTGATGCCACGTTCCCGCTCTGCCTTCAGCTTGTCCAGTACCCAGGCGTACTTGAAGGAACCTTTGCCCACCTGGTCCAGGAATAGGAGGGAAGACCCCAGGGTCACCCCTGTATCCAAAGCTGCCCATGAACCAAGAAAGAAGTTCCCAAATGAGTTGAGAGTGAGAGGGATGGTAACAGGGCAGTCAGTGTATGGAGATGCCTTTGAATCTTTCAAACAATAGAATTTATTACTTATATAATTAATTTTTTCTTTCAGAGCATGTTTTAAAGTCAGAGTGACGCAGGGCCAAATGACAGAGCGCCTAGGCAGGCATGTGGACCACTGGCACATGGTCAGCAAGCCCTCAATCAGTAGTAGCAAACACGTAAGTAATTCTGACCATGGGCTCAGTGCTATTTTAAGCATTTAACATGGGTTATCTCATTTAATCTCCCAACAACTCAGTGAAGTTTTATTATCTTCATCTTGCAGATAAAGTAACAGAGAAATTAACTGACTGGCCCAAGATCATATAATTAATAAACAGCAGAGTCAGGATTTGAACCCAAAGCATCAGACTCCAGTTCAAACTCTCAACCACTACCTTATGTTAAAGGTTAAACCAGTATCTATGGCTGATAATTACTCATGACACCCTGGAAAAGTTGAGCTTCTTTCAGCACTGGTGAAAATGAGACTACCTAAAGGTGGTGGCATATTCAAGTTAGCATGCTTGTTCAGGGAATACTCTACCACTTGCCAGCTCACGGGACCTGGGCATCTGTTCATTTTAGCTCTAATTAGAGGGCAGAGTAGAGAACAAGAAAGACCAGAGACCAGGTGGCACCCCCCAAGAACACTAATTAGGTTATTAAAAGATAGAATTAGAACCCAGGTGTCCTAACTTTTGTCACTGTAGGAACGTCTATAAAATCCATTGTAGTTTAGAATATTTATTAGATAAGCAGCTATCAAAGAGTGGTCCGGAGACCCTGATACCTTTTAGAGTTTGCAAGGTCAAAACTGTTGTTTATATATGAAGACATTATTTGCCTCCCCCGCCCTCACTCTCTCACCATTGTGTAGTCTTTTCTAGAGGTTACATGACATGTGAAATCACAACAGACTGATTGCAGAAGGTGGGAATCCAGCTGTCTTCTATTAAGCCAGGCGTTAAAGCTATCAGCAAAAATGTAAAACAGTGCCACCCTCCCAACATTTTTTGTTTTGGAAAATAGTTAAGTATCACACTTTGTATGAAAAATATGTTAACATATTAAGAGCTTATTACTATTATTTTTAAGTGAATTAAGCATTTTTTGAGAGAGAGAGCACACATACATGCAAATGGGGAAGAGGAGCAGAGGGAGAGAGAATCCCAAGCAGGCTCCCCACACTCAGCTTGCAGCCCTACACAGGACTCAATCCCACAACCCTGGGATCATGACCTGAGTGGAAATTAAGAGTCAGACACTCAACCGACTGAGCCACCCCAGGCACCCCAATGAATTAAGCATTTTTACACTTGATCTTAGCCAAAAGGCCGAGAAGCGATGAATTAAGCATTTTTAAAACCTCACTTTCAAATTTGAATATCATAAATATATAATTCACATAAACTCCTTTGGGTGGCTTTAAGAATGTAAAGAGTTCTTGAGACCAGAAAGTTTGAGAACCACTGCATCAGACCATTTGTTTTTTTTCTATAACTCTGGTTATGCTTCTGTCATATTGACTGTGGACCAGTCTCTTTCTCAAAGCTCTAAAACTTTCCTTAGCAGCCCCTGGCACATAAGCGCTCCCACATCCAACTATACCCAAGGAAGCCACGATTAGGAAAATAGCTGATGGCACTGACTTAGGACCGATTGCTTTCTCTTTTCCATCTGTTTATACCTTTACAGCAGCTGGTTCTACAGACTATTCCCATCTTGTCTGATGCTTTTTCAACTCTAAGGTTTTCCACCCACCTCCCTGGGTCTCCCTTCTCATTCCCCTGCATGGGCTCTTTCTCCACCCATCCCAGGACTCTGTCCCACATCCTTTCCCACAGCGTGTACCCAGCTCACTCCCGTGGTTTGGTTTCTGTCTTGAGCTCTGGACTCCAAGACTCAGCTGCCCTCCTGGACATCAGCACAGAAAGCCCTGTGGACACCTCAAATTTCACACATCTAGAGCAGACTCCAGACCAGCTCTGCTCCTGATATTCACCAATCTTCCAGTTTCCAAAGTGAGAAACTTGGGGCTCACCCTCAGCTCTTCTTCCTCCCTTACCCCCTTCCCTAGAGCTAACTCCTAAGTTCTGTGGATTCCCCAACTCCAAGTCCCTGGACTCCATCCATTACTCTCCATGCCATGCCCACTGCTGCCGCCTGAGCCCAGGCCACCATCTTTGCTCCTGTGGGTCAGGAGCAACAATCTCCCAACTGGCTTCCCAGCCCCCACCGTTGGGCCCTTGGGCCTGTTGTCCCCGTGTTGCAGCCAGTGTGCTTTTTCTGAAAAGATACTGTCTGATTCTTGTCACTCGCGTGCTTGAAACCCTTTAGTGGCTGCAGGGAAAGTGGCCAGGCTCTTTACCAGGGCACTCAAGGCTTGCATCCCCTGTCCTACCAGGCAATGACTCTCCACCTGAGGTGTACTACACCTGCTGTTCCAATCTCCTGGCGGCTCACGGACACCTGCCCCATTTCCTCAAGGCTCAGAGGAGGTTTCTTCCTCGGGGAAGCCTTCAGGGCCTCTCAGGACTCGTTCATTGTCCCTGACTGGGCTTCCTACAGCACCCACACGGTTGCAGAGCTTATCGTGTAACAGGAGGGTGTGTGACCAGGAGTTTCTAGGGGGCAGTGCTTGCCAAGTTCAGCATTGTATCCAGGGCCCTGAGGTCCATGGCAGAAGCATGGCAAATAAATCCTTTCCCCTCTTAAATGGCAGCTTTACCTTCTGAGAGACAGCATGGCATCTGTGTCACGCTGAGATTTAAACCTTGGTGCCATCCCCAGGCAAGCGCTGTCACCCTTTGGAGCCTCATTTGTCTCACCTGGAAAGTGGCAGCCACACCACCTGCCTGGCATGATTGAGCAGGAAAGCGCCTACCAGCCCACAAGAGGCATCCCTCCCAGGGAAACCAAGGCTGGAAAGGAGGGCAGGGAGGCTCAGATAGAGCAGCCTCACCTCCGCGGCCTCCTTCTCAAACCTGTCGATGGTCCTCTTGTCGATGCCCCCACATTTGTAGATGAGATGCCCTGTTGTGGTGGACTTGCCCGAATCCACGTGGCCGATGACCACAATGTTGATGTGGGTCTTCTCTTTGCCCATGCTGGGAGCTGCTCAGAGAGAGGAGAGGTGTGCTCAGTGCATGAACTGACTGCCTCCTGCCCCAGACTCAACTTCCTTGGGACCGGGCCAGCTCAGCCGGCCAAGGGTGAGGTAGAAAAGGAAATCAGTTCGCCGAGGGGGCAGAGAAGGGGCCTTTCCCACACCTCACACCTGAGGATGCTCTGGTCTCTCCCCCGGCCCCAAGGAGGACATGCCTACCTCCAGAGCCCGGAGGAGCCCCCTGGTACCTCCTCACACCTAGAACAGACCAACGGGCACTGGGCCCCACCTCCTTTTACGGAGGACTTCTCAGGCCCGCCCCTGAAATCCCGTGTCCCTATTGGCTGGCCGGGATGTGTGGGAAAAACACACACCCATCTCACAGGGGGTGGGCTCTCCCTCTCCAGGTTGGGAGGAGGATGAGCCTGCTGCGCACCCAAAGGAAGCTCCTCTGGGCTTTGAGATGCTGATTGATACCCCATTCCCACCACCTCTAGGACGCTAAAAGCGGGCCAAGGGTCAAAGGCAGGCCTGGGGTGGGAGGTGGTCCCTGGTAATCAGGCCTGTGTGTTTGGGGGGCCGGGGAGCATGCATAGGAAAGGGTGGGGAAGAGAAGGATCAAGTGGCTGGAGCTCTAATGTTTTACCTATCTGCCTCCTGGATCTTCTTGGGCCTCAAGAACCACATGGATTAAAAAAAAAAAAAAAATTTTTTTTTTAAATTTTAAGTAGGCTCTGCACCCAATGTGGGGCTTGAACTCATGACCCTGAGATTAAGAGTCGTATGTTCAGGGCACCTGGGTGGCTCAGTGGGTTAAGCATCCGACTTTGGCTCAGGTCATGATCTCGAGGTTCGTGAGTTTGAGCCCCGTGTCAGGCTCTGTGCTGATGGTGTGGAGCCTGCTTGGGATTCTCCATCTCCCTCTCTGTCTCTCTCTGCCATTCCCCCCACTTTCACATTCTCTCTCTCTCTCTCTCTCAAATAAATAAACTTAAAAACATCTTTAAAAAGAGTCACATGTCTGACCAACTGAGCCAGCCAGGTGCCCCTCTTAGGACAAACCACATGGATTTATCCCTGCCTCCGGCAGCCTGCACACAGCCTGACTTGTGGCAAACCCTGAGTGTGGTGAACAAACGCAGAATGGCCACTACCTTTAGGCCCTGAGCCCTGTACGCACCATCACTCTTATGCTACTGCTATTTCTACCTGGGACATGAGGAAAATGAGGCTCAGGAGCCGGATCCCTTGGGAGAAAGTAGCAGAACTCAAATTGACCCCAGAATCTCAGCCAGAGTCCAGCACTGCCTCTCAGTGAACTCGTGCCTGAATCACTCCCTGCTCATTTCTGTGGTCCCAGCACTGGGTCGTTGAATGAATATTTAGGGTAGGACATGGGAAGAAGATGAGCGAGAGGGGCCAGTCTCCCACACAGAAGGGCTGACCCCAGAATTGAAGATCAAGCTACCAGACTGTAGTCTGAGGCCGGGACAGTGCTGGCATCCTCCAGAACTTCTGGAGCCACCCGTACATCAGTTCCTGAGGAGTAGGCTCTGTGCCTGGAGACCAGTTAGATGCAGGGAAACGTGGCAGAAACAACAGGCTCCCGAGAAGGCCAACCTAATAGGATTAGAGTCTTGGCTCTGCCCCTCTCCCCCAGTGGCCCCTGAGTCCCTCTGAGCCTGGGTGTCCACTTACCTCTGAGTGTTGTGGTCTTTCAAGATCAGCTCCCACACTCATAAATCCTGATGATGCTGATGACCGGTCCTTTAAAAAAACTTATGACAAAGTAAAAACACATGGGGACGCTGTAACCACACGCCACAGATTAACCTGTTCTTACAACCAGGGCAGCTGGGAGCCTGGGGACAGCTGGAGGGTATTCTTACTGGCCCCTCATCTTTGGATACAGGTGGTGGTAGAGAAATGATTTGCGAGTGGTTGGATCGTGTAGCTAATTTCGCCTCCATCTAAGCCTGGCTTTTTGCTAGTTATGTGGCATCTTGGTGTGTTAGCAGTTTCTTAGCTGTAAGTCCCATGAGTTCGTAAAAGGCAAAGTGAACCCCGTGGGATGGTTGTGTGTATCACCCCTTCCGGGGACTCTCAGTTCCTGCTTCTGAGGATCTGTGGAGCATTGGGAAGGAAACTGGCTTTGGAATCCAAAGACCAGGCAAGTCTCAGCTCTGCCACTTGGTGGCCTGCTCACCCTTCCTCCACCTCCTCTTCATTTTCACCGGGGCCGACCTTACTCTCCCTCTCTTCTTGCAGGACGGAGGGGAGCTTCCTCCCCATGGGCGGCAGCAGGACTCGCCAGAAGACCAGCAGGTCCCTCAGCAGCCCCACCAGCGCACAGCCCAGGCAGCTCTCAGTGCGTGGAGGGGCGCTCGGGAGCCAGGTCTGAGGGACTATCGGGTCTAGACAGCCCACAGAGTCACCAGGGTTCTAGAGGCAAAGGTATAAGGAAGGAATGAGTCGGGGGAGAAGGGAGGGTTCTAAGGGACCCTGAGCCATATAGAGACAACTTAAAAGAAGGCTTTGGAGCCAGAGAGACCTGAGTGGGAATCCTGGCTCCAGCCCTTGCTCGGTGGGCAATGTGGAGCAAGTTGGTTGCCTCTCTGAGCCTCGTGTGAAATGCAGATAATAATCCCAGCTCACATATATTGAGCACCTATCACATCCAGGTCTGTGCTGAGCCCTTTACATGCATTTTTCCACTTGCCCCTAGAAAACACCCTCTGAGGTAGGTAGTAATATTAATAACGGATCAGGGGATGAAGTCACAAAGGGTGGAGACATGATTGGCCCAGGCATTCTGAGAACACTTGAAATTATTATTTCACAAGGTTATGGGGAGATTAAATGGTATAATTTACATTTGTTAATTATTTTCACCAATGTTATAGGCAAAAAGGAGAGAGCTTAAAGCAATTTTGTTTTACATTTCCATAATTACCAAATACTTTTACAAAGTAATGGTCTTCTCTATATATTTGCTGGCATGGATTATCTATTTTTATCTTCTGATTCTCCATCTAGTGGGGATTTGTTGTCTACTCCTTTCCTGAGTGATCAGAAGGCTGCAAGCTGTAGGACTGTCCTGTTCAATATGGTAGTCACTATCCATATGTGGTGACTTAAATTTAGATTAATTAAAATTAAGTACAATTTAAAATTCAGTTTCTCAACTATAATGGCCATATGTGAAGTGCTTAAGAGCCTCCATATTGAACAGCATGGACGTGAAACATTTCTGTCATCACAAAAAGTTCTATCGGAGAGCACTGCTCTCAGAGAAATCAAGTCTGGCCTTCTGAAACCTTGAGATTGAACCATGAAGCCAGGAGCTCTGGTTCCAGGGCAGTCACTGATTAGCTGGAGTGCCTCTCAGAAAAACACATACCTCTGGACCCCATTTCTTCCCTATAAAATGTGGGAAGAGGTTAGACTAAGTAATATATGAATGTCTTTTTTTTTTTTTTTTGAGAGAGAGAGAGAAAACTAGTGGGGGGTAGGGGCGGGGGGGGGAGAGAGAGAGAGAGAGAGAGAGAGAGAGAAGGAGAGAGAATCCTAAGCAGGCTCCACATTCAGCATGGAGCCTGACATGGGGCTCGATCCCATGACCCTGGGATCATGACCTGGTCGAAATCAAGAGCTGGATGCTCAACTGACTGAGCCCCCCAGGTATCCCTGCATGAATGTCTTTTAAGCTCTGACCTTCTGGGCTCAATTCTGGGAGCTCTGGATTCAATTTCTGGTCATCTCTACACTAATCCCTTTGAGAACTCAAGCTTCTCAGTTGGCCCAGTCTTTCCCTGCAACAGAAGAACTTTGATGAACTCATTGGCCCTCTGGCAGTTACTTACTGCGTATTTCTGAAGGGACGGCATCTGCTTGGATGTGGCCAAATCTGGGCCAATCAAAATCTCTCTATCCTGATCCTGGCTTGGGGATTTAGGGTCACTTAGTGAGTCTCTGCACATGGTAAAGACTGTAACTGGGAGAGGCAGTTGGTGGTGGCTACAATGGTGGAGAAAGCCAGTCTAGAGAGAGAGAGAGAGAGACAGGGAATCAGGGAGACAGAATGAGAGAGAGAAACACAGCACACCTTCAGGGAGAAACAGGGAGAAGAATCCCCATTTCAAGCTCTTAGAATCTTTTTTTTTTTTTTAATGTTTATTTTTATTTTTGAGACAGAGAGAGACAGAGCATGAGTGGGGGTGGGGCAGAGAGAGAGGGAGACACAGAATCCGAAGCAGACTCCAGGCTCTGAGCCGTCAGCACAGAGCCCGACACGGGGCTCGAACCCACAGACCGCGAGATCATGACCTGAGCTGAAGCCGGACGCCCAACCGACTGAGCCACCCAGGCGCCCTCAAGCTCTTAGAATCTTTGAGACACTCCTGAGTCTTTGTCGTAAATTTCCCCCACTTCCTTCTTTGCTAATTAAGCTCCAGTTAATTTCTATTGCTTGTCACCAAAGGTTCCTATCCCATGGAGTTGAAGGCAAACAGGTTTGGTATATTATTGTTCCGAAAAGTTGAAAGAGTTTTCAGCTGGAAAAAAGGGAAAGCTAAACAAAAATACACCCACACACAGGCCAAGAACAAACTGAAAGGAAAACACTCATCAGTTGTTAGTTTGACAGGTGTTTCTTGAGCGCCTATGCTGTGTCCAACGCCTTATATACTTTATCTAATCTTCACAAAAATCCTTGAGAGGTAACACTTTCCCCATTTCAAAGGGAGTTGAGACACAGCGAGGTTAAGGGACTCACGCAAGGACACACAGCCGGTCAATGGCAGAGACACGGAGCAACAGGGCTTGGCGAAATGACAGTGGGTTGTGTCTTACCTGCATAAGCACAGCTTGTGAGCGAGGACGTTTCCTGGGTGGGGACCCACTTGGCCCAGAGAGTAAAGCAAGCCAGAAAGATCACACGAGGTATGACTCAGTTTTTCTGGCCACAAAGAACACAGCAACCTTTCCACAGTTGGAAGTAGGGAAGGGTAGATCGGAGAGCAAAATCCTCCCAAACAAAAAGCACTTGTAGTCTCAGTATCTCTTATTTTCCATCTTGTTGAGATTTCTTTTATAAAAAGCCTTCCCAGAGTGGGTAAGAATTATTCTCAATTCTGTGGAAAACGTTAGAAGGGGTAGGAGAGGGAGAATCAATCCCCAAACCCGTTCTGGAATT